AAATAACTGGCCGGGAAGAAAATGTGTTGAATGCTAAAGCAATATTGGAATCTAAAGATAAAGAAATATCGTGGTCCAAAGATGTAAAAAACTTAGAAATTTATGAAAATGGTAACTTAGTGATAAAGGTTTATGAGGCCGACATTTTAAAAGTGCCGACCGAAGGAATAGTAAATGCTGCTAATGAAGATCTTCGGCATATCGGAGGCATAGCGGGGGCTATTGCTAAGCACGCTGGGAAAAAACTCGAAGAGGAAAGCAGGAATATTGTGAAAGAGGAAGGTAAATTTTCCTTCTTTGCTGTAAAACTTTAATTTCTAGTTTCTTATTTAGAGCTATCTTTCAGTTTGTTTTGTCGTTTAGGAAATAAAAAAAACTTAAACTTTATCTTCATTCTTTTTTCATAGTGTAACACGGGAGTTATTTCAATAAGTTATTATACTGCGATAGCCTTTCTTCCAAATTAGGCAAACTCAAAGTGTCTTCGGTCGTGTGTACATCGGGTGGGAACCTTGACTTTACATATGTGCTGCATGCTGTTGGTCCTAGGTGGAGAGACTACCAACCATTTACGGAGGCAAACGTACAAAAATGTGCTGACGATTTAAAACTTACATATCTACAGTGCTTGCGGATGGCAGAAAGTAAACAAATAAAAACACTCGCTATACCAACTATAAGTTCAGGTAGGTTGTGAATATACGTAACAAAAATCTTAACACTGAATTAATTATGCAATTGATTTGATGCATTTGCAGGCTATTTGCAACCGCTCACAACGCGCTTTGTAACCTGTTAAAACATATTATTATTTGTAACATATATCGGTAATACGTGTGAAAATATTAAGCATATCTTTATATAGCATACCTTTTATATCAATTGTAATAGAGTTAAGGACGTTTTCGGGAGTTTTCATATAGACATATAGGCAAAATTAAAACTGATCAATAGAATTTCTTTAAACTTGGCATGTTGTTAGAATATGATAACAGAAACATTTTAAGCGAAAAAAAATTGGGGTCACCGTTCTCGTTTTTGAGTTATCTACCCCTGAATCAGACTTTTCTACTTATTTGAGGTCATTTCAAGGGCAGATAACTTATACATATTTAGATAAATATTTTTTTTTACTTCTGGATTATGTTCTTCTTTTTATTGTTGAGTACAATACATAATAAAATGCAATTCCTAACATCGTTTCTGTTAATTTTTTTCAATGAAAATAAAGGTATTTTAAATTCTTAAAATATAGGCCATTTTTTTAAGAAAAAACGCACAGGTTAAAAGAAGAAGTGGGAATAAAAACTACCCACTCTAATTTATTCTTGAAATTTTGCATATCAACTAAAACGAAGGTAAGCTACATGAAAATAAGAAAAAAATGTATTGTTTACCTGTTTTGTAAATTATCTGCCCTTGAATTTAACAAAAAAGTCCAATTCAAGGGCAGATAACTCAAAAACGAGAACGGTGACCCCAATATATTTTTCGCTTAAAATGTTTCTGTTTTCATGCAACATGCAAGTTTAAAGAAATTCTATTGAACAGTTTTAATTTTGCCTATATGTCTATATGAAACTCCCGAAAACGTCTTTAATGACGTAATCAAATTTTTGAAAAACAATGATAAGCAAGTCATCGTTTCTAATGTAATTCAACGTTAACTGTCAGTTTATCATAAGCGTTATTATCCTATGACAAAGGAATCTTGTATACACAGAAATGAAACGTTTTCCAGAAATCTTACATGAGCCCCCATTTGCTTTTTTTAAAGTTTATAGTCTGGTTGATATCAATCACTAAAATATTACAGCTCACTTGAGATATATGCGCCTTATTTAAGCGAATATTTTCTGTATAACAAAAAATACCTGATTTGTTGGCCGTGCACGTTGTCACAAATATATGAGTGTCCACCAATCTGTCACAGTTAAAATTCAGATTTCTAGACCAAAATTTCATATCATAAACGCAAATAAATTTCTCTCAATTTAGGTATATTTAAAGTTCCGAAGGATGTGTGTGCAGTGCAGTATGCAGAGGCAATTCTTGAATTTGGTGACAGAACCGACTCCTTGAAAGAACTACATGTAGTGGATAAAGATTCGGACATGATAGATATTGTTCAAAAAATATTCTATGCTATGTTAACTGAAAGAAAAGCTGCGCCGAATTGTTTAAGTAAGTTTGTTGACACACAAGTGGAACAAACAAAGATGGGGATACACGATAAAGAAACAAATGCAATGAAAAACATAAAGAACACTGGTAGGGACAAATCTAAGGTACATATCAACAACGAATCAGCTGTTGAACAGGTGTGTTATAATAATATATAGGAAGGCCGTTTGTTTAAAATTTATATTTAAATAAATAAGAGTCATTAAGACGTATATCATATATGAGCGTATATTCATGTACATACACATTTTATATATACTTAGAATAAATCATCAAGTAATATTTACATGCCACGTACTTAAGTAAATAATTTTTGTTACTAGCGAATTTAAGTCGCTTTCACCTCGCCGTTAGTTTGAGACTACAAAACGACTCATGATTGTTTTCTTTCATTTGAGGAAGCTATCCAAATGTCTTAGGTCCGTGAAAATTGATCCTAATGGTCATTAGCCTCTCACCGTTGCTTCATGAATTACAAAAATGTATGTGGTATTAATAGTCTGACACTTGCTGAGAAATTGATAATTGCTGATAAGTTATTAGGCGAAGTCGGTTAGGTTGATTAACGCCTAAGATGTGAATATGGAAAAGAAACTGAGTTAACATCGTCGTAAAAAAACAACAAACAAGCTCGCAAGTTCTACCCATGTGTTTTGTGCGTTAATTTGTGCAAGAAGAAGCGCCAAGTAAAGTGTTGCTGTGACTTGAAAGTCTTTAGATCTTTTAACCAAACAAATGAAGCATCTTACGCCACTAACACTAGTTGCTGTTATTGTTATAAATATTCAGTGTTTTTATGACGGCGTACTTTTTGACGAATTTATTTGTTTAGTAAAAAAACTAATTCTCAAAGTATTCTAGCTTTGACCTTTAAATTATTATGTGTTTACTAGAATTATTTATTATGCCTGATTTTATGATTATTTTTTTTTATTCAGACAACCGAGGATTGTGTCATTTGTATGGACAGTGTAACCGATGAGAAAAGATTAAACTGCGGGCATATATTTTGCTCTGAATGCATCGACGGATACTTTCGTGTTAGTAGTAATTTATTCACACAAATTATTTCAGTATGTAATAGGCATTTTATATTCATTTAGGTTATAACGCAAGTTAACTGAATTTGCTAACAATTATATATATTGAATACCATTCTTGGTTATTACAAAATCTGAACGGAGTAAATGAAAATGGGACGCGTATTATTTTAATTCGGCCTTAAAGAGTATCATATTCTTTCTTAGGTACACATGTATATAATAACTGGTTTAAACAATATCCGTTGCATGCATCTTTAATGAATAACAAAATGTTTGCTCATTTAGTCTTATAAGGTTACTGACACAAAGGTAGAACATTTAAAAAAAACAACTAATTACTACTTTATTGACATTGGAATGACTGTTACCTGATAAACACTGTTGACACAGAGATGGGAAACTGTGCATGATTTGAAGACATAAAATCATATTATTTCATTTCCATATGTTCTAAGGACCACTCTTTTCGAGATTTTACACTACGTCAAGTACCATGTGAAAGCTGTAAAAAGTTGCCCCTTACTATACTTAAGTGGTATTATATTTTTTTCTAGTCCTTCGGGATCATTAATTCCAATTCATTGAATACTGCAAAAGCCGGTGCTAGTGGGCGTGAAAGATTTTACACTTTTACTTTATCTGTCATTGACAGACTCAATCGAACTGAGTCAGCAATTTCGTAGTATATGGTTGTTTTAATTGCTTCTGAGGGATCACCCTTTTTTCATATTTTTAGAGTTTTCTGTATCGAAATTCACATGATATGGGTACACACATTGTATGTAAAGTATTCAATTAAAATCATATAATTATGATAAGTGTATGCATTGTACTTCTTTCTGTTCTACAGATATATTTTGGATTAAAGCAAGTAAATTTAAAGCTAAACCCAATTCATTGGTTAAGATTTGGTCTCTAAGCTCACATTTTTCTTCTTTTTTTTAAGTTGATTTATTTGACATGTTTAAGGAACGTAAAATATCCTCTATGTATTTTTTAGATAAAAATGGTTTGTCCAACATGTGGAAAGGTTTGCGGTAAAGTAACCGGTGACCAACCATCTGGTAAAATGAGAATCGAGAAAATCCACCGATATGTAACAGGGTTTGAAGGTTGCAAAAGCATTTCTATAATGTATCAGTTCGAAAATGGAAAACAAGGGGTATTTGATTTGAAATGTACTTCTTTGAGCTTTGGACATAGATAAAGTGACCATTTATCGTTCATTGAACGTCGCCATTTCTTGTTTATCTTTGTTTTTTACTAAAACCTACATAGAAACGTATGTATAATAAGGCTGTTTAAACTGGATTCGTCTAAAATTCTTAATTAACCATATTCTTTGCTTAATGTTGAGTTCTGTCATAGCCGTTGCTAGGGTGCGTAAAAAGTAGTTTGAATTAACCGTTGCCTCTATGAATAGGCTCAGAACCATTCTTTCTATTTTAAATGTTATAAGATAATGAATTACATTTTTTTAGAATATGGTTGCATACAGTTTGAATAGTTAGAATATTGTTGCATACAGAATAAAAAGGGTTAAGATGGAAATATTTGACACTGTTTGCATATTTTTAAGATTTGTTATTGTTTTGTTTTGTGTTGGTTATTTGAAAACATGTAGGTTCTCACTTAATTAAAAATGTGTTTTATCCTGCTACTCTCGATAAAATATTTATCAGCAGGATAAAAACTTATCTATCTCCAGTCATTACGTACGTCTCACGGTAAGCCCTTTGGTGACGTCACATGGCTAGAAGCAAAACAAAACTGCATATAGACGCTGTTTTAATGTGGGGTAAAATAAGAATGAAACCATTTAAATAGTAAAAAAACATGATTAAACTAGGCCATAGTCAAATGTTGTCGGGATAGGAGGTATATCTGGTTTGCTGTGAATATGAATCTTGGGTCACTAAAGCTCACCAAGATACACTTTTTCGTTCATCGGATAAACCTTCTCCATATACTCTAATCTCATTGTAACTTGTAAAATGGTAATAATTATTTCATACAAAGCTTGAACTCTGTTTCATATTTGCACTACTTACAAAAAGTAGATGAAAAATTAGGGGCTTAAATACTGCATATGCATGATAAAATATAAACCAAAAGTAATTATGTAATAATTCTGGGTGATCCTATTAATTTCTAAAACTTTTTTTATAGCCGGATCACCCTAGACCTGGTGACTTTTACAAAGGAATTTCTCGTACAGCATATTTACCTGACAACAAGGAGGGCAGGGAGATATGTGCAATGCTGAAGGTTGCTTTTGAGCGTCGTCTTGTTTTTACAATAGGAACGTCTAGAACAACGGGAAAAGAAGGTGTTATCACTTGGAATGACATCCATCATAAGACAGACCTTACACCTTTTACACAGTAAGATCTCTTATAAATAGTTACCTTTGAGTATATAATCAGTTAAAATAAAACGCTTTAAGATGAAAACAAAAATCAATATTAAGAAAAACATACAAGTTAGAAACGAGTTACAATAGATATTTCAGTTAATGTGCCACCTCTGATGGTTGGTGACAAATATGCACCGAGGTTATATTTTTTCTGGGTTGACTGATCAATTTACATTCTGTCTTAGTTTGTGACCAACACAAATACTGATCGTACATGAGATCAGAGTTTGAGCTTAGAAAAATCTTCAAAATATTGGACTCCGTCACAATAATTCCATCCCATTATGTACATCATAAGGTTCTTTTGATCATATTTTGATACAGAATAGGTAGAGCTTATTACGGAAACTGTGCAAGAGTCATGGGAAAATATGCCTATTAAAGCTATTATTACCGGAACTATTTCTCTTTATTCGTTAGGTTTGGATATCCTGACGCTACATATTTACAGAGGGTAAGAGAGGAGTTGACGGTAAAAGGTGTGACAATTGATGACGTGGATGACGATTTCATTGAGCAAATCAAAAACAATGATTTTACACAAACTATTCGTTTATAATTCATCAGCAGGACTGAGTATTTGCTGTAGCTAGAGTTCATTTTGTTTCATGTTTCTTACGTAGCATTTTGTTTTACATACCTGGAACACTAGTTTAACGTTTACCAGATCATGTTAATAATATATATTTATTTTAAAAATGTAATTTTCATATAAGTACACTCTGCATTTTCATAACGCATAAAATTTTCTCTAACATGCCCTGTATTATAAGATAATATTTCCTTTATAAGCTCCTAGTCATAGAAACTTAATAAGTTGGCAGTTTGTTTCCAATTTTGCTCTGCCATCCGGTCAAATTTTCGTCAAAAAAGGCAATTTAAATTTAAACATACTGAAAATATTGTTTTAAACATGCTCTTCTGGAAAGATATCATTTAGATTCCAATCACAAAGAACGCTGCTAGAATTTTCATTTATTTTAATACATGACATGCTCGAAATAATTTCTGTATTAAGAAATAAATAAATAAAACTCATACATAGGGGTTTAATAAAATAATCTGAATTTGCAAATACCATGTGAACGTTAATGAACGTACTTCTTTTAGTCAATGAAAAGGAATATATTTGACGTCATGGCCGAGTGGTATTAACTCATCCAACTAGTAATCTAAGGAAAACTGTCCACGTTTGTTTAAACCCCGTCAGATAGGGAAATCCGTTGTTTCCTTAAGCGAAAAACTTTACACTCATTGCATAGTACTTGTCGGTTCTAGGAACAGATTCGAGAGTGTTTTAATAAGCTTATAATATAGCTTTCAACACAATCGAGCTATGTACTTAACTTAAGAATATAAAGATTTATATACGCTTGTCTATGAGGTACCCAACGGGGAATGTAAATAAAACATTTTTTTAAATTCGTAAAGGGAACTAAGTTGCAAGTTTTGTTTTGATATATGAGATAATGTAATAAAGCTGTTTGATAATCACATAACATTCGGCTAATAAGAGGTAAAAAGACTGCATGTGCACACTTAATTAAAGCTGTAAAGCAAATAGATGTTTCATCATCATCATCATCATCGTCGTCATCTTGTTATTATTATTATTACTATTATTAAAAATAGGATATATATATACAGCTACATAATGGGGTTAATTATTATTATTTAATATATGATTTGCAATAAAAGTCAGCTTTTGTATTCCATGAATACAATGCTTTAGCTAATCTGAGCATCTCATTTAAGAGGATAGTGGCGAACGTGGCCGAGTGCTTAATTTCGTTGACTTCGATCCACTTGCCCCATACCGCTGTGTGTTCGAATCCCGGCAGGAAGTTTTGGTTTACTCATTGGTATATAATTCCTACTGAAATTATGCCTGTAAGACAATATACTGCCATTGCCCGGAAAACATAGTCACTGCAACTTAACTTTGGTTTGATATCCATGTCATCAAGCATATTCTTCACACAATTTCATTTGCTGAGACAACATTCATGTTTTCAAAACAGCGTTACGTTGCACTTAAATATTGATTTCAATATATTTTGCATAAAATACTTCCAACGTTTTATGGAATTAGGAATTATTAAATTCTTGCCCTGCTGAAACCAACCGAAGGTAATTAGTTTTTGTCATTAACGCAGATCTAGACCAGCCTGTACATCTATGCAGTCTGGTCAGGTTCTACACAGTAGCGACTGATATCATTGTCATATTGATATCACCAAAATTGATAATGGCAAATGCAAACAATAACACTGAGCTAAGAACCCCTAGATTAGTAAAGTGTTACCCCATGGCGTGTATTTGAAAACATTACATAAGGTGGATATGTAATTTAACGTATGTTCATTATGATATAATTATGTTTTATGATTTTTACAGTTATCTGTCAAGTGTAATTTTGTAATATTATGTAAATGGGTCGTCAGTTTATGGGTTCTTTTAGTAAAACATGTTAGTAGATGGTAAAGTTAGGTTTAATTTTTATATATCTGTAAATATATTGATAGCAATAGTAGCAAATGCATCTGGAATTGCCACCATAATAAATGCGATGATTTACCTAGACATACCTACTAAGAATATCTTGGTTATTATCATGGAATAGTAAAACCAATTAAAAAGTCAATGACAATAATGTTTACTTGTTTTATTTCGTGTCTTGCGCGTTTGATGCTTTGAATTCACATCTTACATATATACATGTTAGCATGTTATTTTCCTTTCTCATGTATTGTACCTGTTTTGTTTGATATTTGTTCTGCTAATATCACACCGTTTCAATAAATCTCAAATACTTTAGATATCGCCAGTTTTTCTTCTTCCCTTGAATAATGGTGTTACACATAATATAAATTGAAATCCAAAATAATAAAAGAAATATGTTGCATACTGTTTAAACATATTGCATATATACATGGAAGGCAAAGAAACATGAAAGAATAAAAACGTTGCTTTATTGACTGATGCAACCTTTCATTTGTTGTGAGCATTGAAAACATCTCAGCATTGATAAATATCTTACTTGAGGGAACAGACAAACAAGGACCAAACATTGGGTATAGCAGTTTCGTCATCAACACTAGATGTTCTGGTCAAAACTAATTATCAGATCAAAGTACTGTATAGTATTCCAACTTCAACACTTGGAATACTGGTATCATTGTTAATTAACAATAAGAAAATTAATAGCACTGAGATAATAAAGCTCTGTCTAAATATTTTTTCGAAAATCCATGTAAATGTAAGAATTTTAGCCACGTTCACCATGACCTTTAATGAATAAATACACATCTTACCCTTTTCTGTAAATATGAATGATAATTAAAACTCCACATGTCAAATGTAATATTATTCCAAGTGGTATACCAACTTTTATCCCTATATCTGAAATGCGTCATTGCGGAAAATAAATACACATGAATAATAGAATCGCAACATTCATATAATTATATTATGATTTTTAATCAAATGCTAGAATTCAATGAACAATGACTGGGAAAAAAACCTTTTGAAATCGTTTGTGGGTTTCCTGTTTTTCAGTGTTTGCTTTCATTTGTTCGAAAGATATTATAAAATTCATGTGCTGCTTATTTTTACCGTATGACATTAAAACTTAAGTTATCATTAAAACATGTGTTTCCCAAGAAAGTAATCTTACATCATTTATATGTTGTACAGTCCAGCAATCCAATAATTACTTATACATACCTTTCATTGGCATTTTAATGTTCTGCAGCATTTCTGATTTCAAGCTTTTTTTTACCAAATGATCTCTACCGAAAATACGTCTATGGAAAATATCACCATCTTAATGCCAAGAAATTATTCCAATGTCAAATTTTTATGTCTGAGATAAGATGCTGAAAGGTTTTGTCTGTTTGCGATGCATACAACATATACTTAGATATTTTACTTTGTGATTGATACTGGTGTCCATACATGCAAAATAATTAAGTTTAATAAAAAATAAATTAAAAGACCTTATAAATTAACTGAATGATAATTTCATCGAAAGTCATGCAAACGTATAAAATAGAAAAAATGAATCAAATTAAAGTACAACTTGAACTTTGCTCTTCCTCTTGTGGTTGAATGTTCTTATAATTTGATTTAGCTTTGCTTAAAGTTTGTACTCCCATTGGTTGTTTGGTTGATGTATGAGATGTATCCGCAACTGTTTCTTTGGAGCTTGTCATCGACATTGCCGTTGGTTCTGTGGCAGTTGTAGTGTGTTCTGTAACCGTGGCCGTATTCCCTTACAAATTGACTCAAAAATGTTAAATGCAACAAAGTTTAAGCAGATGTTGTATTTAGGTTTGAGTTTGTTCATTGCTGCATAATATTACACGTCTCGAGTAAAATAACCACAAAGGCTATAGGTCTTAATGTCGATATGTATAATATAATATCATGTGATAATACATCCGATATGGAAACTGTTTCTATGCTGATGTGCTCTTACAAAAAGAACTATTAAAAACCTTTGAGTACATTCAGCGTAGAAATATTTATCGTCTTTTGACTCTATTTTAGTTTGCCAAAATTGATGTCAATTGACGTGCCATTGTTTTTTCGTAACTTCTTGACTACTTTGTATATTTATGCACTCGAAATCTTTTTTAAATATGGATTTAGTGAAAACAAAGTACATTTTATAGAAATAGCAATTTGTGTAAATCATACACAAATGAAAAATTTTCAGACATGTGGGAGTAGAATTCCGTGATTATTTTAAAATGATTAGTCACGATTTTTTATTCAGAATGTTTTATGTATCATTCACCAAATAGAAAATACGGAAAAATAGTTTTGATTTTGCTTATTGCATTTTGTGACTTATACAATATACAGTTAATTTGTCATCCATACTTCTTTGCAACTATGATATTTAAAAAAAAATATAAATTGCTTATCTATTTTTATTTATATAAACATTTTATATTCATTTTAAATAGCTTTGAATTTAATTTGAAAAATTGCAAACATATAATGTTAGTTAACATTGCAAACAATGAATGTGATGTCAACAATTCTACGCGCAAGACATTGCGTGTTCCCAAATAGTGCATTGAGTGAGTTCTGATGACCTGTAATGGCATACGATGACGATTAAGATCTTTAGATTTAAAACTAAACTGAGACAAGATTTATTTTAGCAATAAGTTTTACACTAGCCATCATACAAAAGTTATTTATTGGCCCATTTCCATTGCTTGAACCTACGGATAACAACAAAGTAATTCACTTTGTCGTTCTTTTTTCATTATTATTTAAATTATAATTTTCAGTATGATAACACATTAAAGTTATTTTTTAGGAGAAAAAAACATCCAACTACAAACACAATTTCAAGTTTCAACTTAAAATTATAAAACTGTGTTGCTTCTAGTAACTTTTAACTCCCGACAACGTATGATACATAGTTTAATAAGATTAATAGCATTAATTTATTTTGTATATATTTGGAATCCTTATCATTAGTTAAAAACATGAATAACAAAAGATATGAAACCAAGTACAATAAAAAGGGCGGCATTCAATGAGCGTCACCCCCAAAGAATTGCAACACAGGACCACCGAAAAGAAGACAGCATGTTGTTTGCATTAGTATTGTAATTTCAGATAGACCTTAGAACACTGAGGTAATGTCAATGTATATTACTTGTCTGAGATTTTAATTTTTAAACCATTTACAAACCGTGTATGCAACGTACATAACGAAAAGCGTTTCTCCGTACAATTTACATAGTACATTCCAATTGAACTTTTATAGGCTCCACATAAAATACCTTGAACTGGAAAATTAACAAATCTGGATCATTTTACAAAAAAAAGTTTTATCGGATATATCATGAGTTAAGAGGACTTTTGGTTAAACCCTGAACGCAACGTAATTTGTTATTTAGTCTGAAATTATCGTTCTTTTTTAACAATACTTTGGTCGAATTCAGTAATCTAAATCATCAATTATTGGGAAAATGATTACTAATATGTTGTATTCAATGGAAGTTTGAGTTAATAAATCAACCTTTATAATATAAATCTCATTTTTATTTGATGATTTATTTGCACCCAAGGTATCATTATCAACAATTTAAATTGATACAGTGACTTTGTTACTACCTATTTCAGCTGCAATAGAACACACATGACTGCTTGATAAGTATTAAATAGGGCGAAACAAATAAATCACTATTGAAATATTGGTATGCTATCTATTTTTTCAATTAACTTTTATTATCTATAAATACCAATGCCACGCCTAGCCGCAATTGTGATGATGCCTTGCACTGGTCATATTAACGTAGACTACTTATGTGTTCTTATAATTTAACTTTCTCATATATTTTCATATGATTAATCATAGCCCCGTTTACTATTTAAATGCTAATTATTACAGTTATATAACCTAAAATTTTAGTAAAATGTTCGAACTTTCGGTTTGGCTTTTTTAGCTCACCTGAGCATATGATCAGGATGAGCTATTAGGACCTCTCTTCGTCCGTCGTCCGTCGTACGTCGTCCGTTGTCCGTTCACACTTTTCAAACGACATCTCCTCTGAAACCATAAGGCAGATCATAATGAAACTTCACAGGGATGTTCCTTGTGTGAAGCCTAAACAAATTTGTTCAAAGAATTCCATTCCATGCAGAACTCTGGTTGCCATGGCAACCAAAAGAAAAAACTTTAAACATCTTCTTCTAAAAAAACCCAAAGAGCTAGAGCTTAGATATTTGGCATAAAACATCTTCTAGTGAGTGTCTACCAAGATTGTTCAAATAAAAGCCCTGGGGTCAAAATTGGCCCGCCCCAGGGGGTCATTGATTTTCCCTATATGCATATAGTAAAAACTTAAAAAAATCTTCTTTTAAAGAACCAAAAGAGCTAGACCTAAGATATTAAGCATGAAACATCTTCTAATGAGTGTCTACCAAGATTGTTCAAATAAAAGCCCTGGGGTCAAAATTGGCCCCGCCCCAGGGGGTCATTGATTTTCCCTATATGCATATAGTAAAAACTTTAAAAAATTTTCTTCTAAAAATTCCAAAGAGCTAGAGCTTAGATATTTGGCATGAAACATGTTCTAATGGATGTCTACCAAGTTTGTTCAAATAAAAGCCCAAGGGGGTCATGGATTTTCCCTAAATGCATATAGTAAAAACTTAAAAAAAATTCTTTTAAAGAACCCAAAGAGCTAGAGCTAAGATATTTAGCATGAAACATCTTCTAATGAGTGTCTACCAAGTTTGTTCAAATAAAAGCCCTGGGGTCATTGATTTTCCCTATTAACATGTAGTAAAAACTTAAAAATCTTCTGTTAAAGAACCTAAAGAGCTAGAGCTCAGATATTTAGCATGACACATCTTCTAATGGGTGTCTACCAAATTTGTTCAAATAAAAGCCCTGGGGTCAAAATTGGCCCCGTACCAGGGGTCATTGATTTTCCCTATATATATAGAGTAAAAACTTAAAAATCTTCTATTAAAGAAACCAAAGAGCTAGAGCTAAGATATTTAGCATGAAACATGTTCTAATGGATGTTTACCAAGTTTGTTCAAATAAAAGCCCTTGGGTTAAAATTGGCCCCGCCCTAGGGGGTCATTGATTTTCCCTATATTGCATATAGTAATTAAAAACTTAAAAATCTTCTTTTAAAGAACCCAAAGAGCTAGAGCTAAGATATTTAGCATGAAATATGTTCTAATGGGTGTCTACCAAGTTTGTTCAAATAAAAGCCCTTGGGTTAAAATTGGCCCTGCCAGGAGGAGGGGGGATGGGGGAAAAGGTCATTGTTTTTCATTATTTGTGTATAGGAAAAACTTAACATCATGAAACATCTTTTAATGGGTGTCTTCCAAGTTTGTTCAAATAAAAGCCCTTTTATTTAAACTGGCCCCGCCCTGGGGCCCTATGTACAGGTGAGCGACCCCAGGGCCATCATGGCCCTCTTGTTTTTAGAAATTGATCAGCTTGATACAAATATTACCTGTCCCATACAATATCCCAGTATTCCAATAGTATCCTGGCTTAATTGTTGACTGCTTGCTTTGCAAGTCAGGGTATGAAATGTTATAGGAACACTTAATTTTTTCTCGACTATTGTTATACACAACTAAGTCCACTGTGTAGTCTATGCAAAGAAAAATAAAAATAAATCGAATAATTAACTAAGCTAATATATTCAATAGTATAAACGTTGGTTAAATTAACCCTGGGTTAAACGCTAACCCTGGGTTAAATTTAACCAACTTTGGTTAACTTACCAATCTAGTTAGTCACTTGTATTAATCGAGATAACCAAAAGGTTAACAAACCAAAATGGTAACAATTAACCGCTGGTTAAACTAACCAAATCTAATCCCGACATGCTATAAATTCTAGTTCCGGTTACGTTATTTTCGCGGAATATGTCAAATTTGACAGGCGACAGATGTCGACTACAGTTCGTTCAACAATGGAGGAACCAGTGTTGAAAGGTCAAAAAACTTCACGTTGTCTGAGGTTGAGGCACTGAAATCCTCAGTAATTGATCATTTCACTGTTATCAATGCAAAGCACTGCAATAGATCGTCGGGAGTGACGAAAAAAATGCAGGACAGTGTAAGTTCTAACGATTGTAGTTTGACATCGCCCGTCAAAAATTATCTTGATAATACTCTTCGACAAGTCTAGTATGTTGGACTAGATGTTTATACGCTATATATCTAAAAAATAAATAACATTTAATTAGATTTCCTACATAAACATCGAAAAGGTTGATCAATGCTTGATTGAATCGAGATTAGTCTTGCACAACTTAAATACTTTCACTGTATGTTCTTGATAGGCCTGGGAATCAGTCAGCAAGGCAGTTGTCAGTGTCGGTGTTGCCCCGAGAAATGTCGCAGAGGTCAGGGAGAAATGGGGAAACCTGACCAAAAAAGCAAAGACAGAGGTAACCCTGCAAAAGATCTCCGCAGGCAAAACGGGAGGTTGCCCCCTGCCCTCTCGCAGATCCAATTTTGGACGATATAGCTGGGCTTTTTCAGAAATCAGCTGCATTTCATGGAATACCAGGGGCAATTGATTCCGAGACATTTATCAACATAAGTGAGTATTATTGTTATGAACTATAAATAGATTATTTATACGAACCGTTATGAACTATAAATAGATTATTTATACGAACCATGGCATCTACCAATCAAATTTGATCTAACTGAGTTATCTTTCTTTGATTGTGAGGTTCTCTATGGGGGATTTTTATATATGCAATGATATAAAGTAGTAATAATATTTAGTTTTGATAATAGAAAGTAATGTTATTAATTGTCATTACTAAGTAAAATGCTTTTCATTGACTGTCTATCAAATATTTAACTAGATCTTGTTCCATTCCTGAAATGAATTTTGATACTTTAAGACATTTACAATATACTATATATATACACTGCAATAAAAAATGTTTATTCTGTATACATTATGATTTATCCAGTTAAAAATATGCAGTACCAGTATGCAAATAAATAAACAAATAAATGGATTAATGAATAAATAAATGCAAATAAATAAATAAATAAAGAAAGAAAATAGGAACATTCATTTACTTCATTAAAATCTTGTAAGGCAATATGTATTTAATCATACGGATCAGCTAGATTAGAGCTATTACTTATAATTAGTAATGAAATTAAATATTAATAAATCTAAAAAGCACAATTTGTAATTAATGTGTTTCAATTCAATTAAAATAATTATTTAAATAATGTTGAATTCAGCAACACCAGACATTGAAAGTGCAGCTGTATACATTACAGACCTTCCAGTACAGGTCACAGAGAATGGTATGACTGTTTAAAACATCTAAATTTATGTGACCGTGATAAAAAAGAAAACCAATTCATTTGAAAAAATGATAAGTCAGTTAAACATATGTAGATTGATCAGGGTAACTTTAAAGTTATTGATTTCAAATATACTGTTTGGATACATGTGGAATACTTCATACTGATGTTGTACAATAAACTTTAATCTTAATATAATAACTTGTTGTAACAATGATTCACTTTCCTGATTTCAGGATTCATTGTGTTTAAAGTTTCAGGATCAACAGATCAATATGACTCTTCACAGATTGGCAATGACACATTTTCACAAATTACAAATGATGATGAAGGTAATAACATATGCTAATTCCCTAGGGTTATTATAGAGTGTTGATTAATGGTATATTTATGTAGTTGTAATGATCTGAATGTGTGTATATATAAACTTAACACAATAAGTCAATAACATAACACATAACATATATTATGTTATCAACATGAACTATTTAACAGTTATATTTTAATGTATACTAAATACACACATTATAAGAACTGAAAATGTCATTTTAAAACCACCTTTAAAAAATTGTTTGTTTGTAGTTGAAGATCCAAAACAAGCAAGTATAAACAGCGTGAAGCAACCTTCAACTACAAAAAAGAGGTATTAACAATTTGTATTAATGTGATTTTAGCATATGTACATGGACAGCTGTCCTAATCACTTGATTAGTCCAGATTTCTGAAGAAATTATTTGTGCAGACAATTTAATTGTCTTGAGTAATTTACATATGTTATTAGAATCAATATTTCCAGAATTATCTTCCTAGTTGAACTTAAAAGTATTAAAGTTTACTTTACATCCATTACTTAGAGGCACATTGTGCCTCAGTAACACATTTTTACTTTTTTGTAAAGGATAAACATAAATTTTATCATATTTAAGTAATTTTGTAAGAGGATGTAAGATGCTTAATTGTTACCTGAGTAAATTTGCTATAAATATGAAATAATTTATCATTAAAATAACAAAATGCTAACAAAGAAGTATTTTGACTTCCATACAAACTATTACTTCAACTTTAACAGTTTTTATTGCTAAAAAGCAACAAAATTGCAAAACATGTGTCAGGTAATTGGCCAATGTGTAATCTTTTGGATACTATAAAAGTACAGCACGAAAATTTAAAAAAAGTTTTGAGTAACAAAACTAAAAGAATTTCTAAGGCATAATGGACCTTTTAGGGATTTTCTGTCGCATTTTAATGAACACGGTCTTGTTCACATCAAGTGCTGAGGAAAAGATGGACATTTGAGTGCTTTTTGGTAGTCATGCCTTGAATAATGAATGTTAATTTTCATCAACATAATTGTTATTATAATTGTAAAATTTCTTTTTATGTTTTATAATTATATATTTCAGCTCACAGAAAAGTCTTAAAGACTTACAAGCTGAATATTTCAAAATCAAAATTGAAAATGAAAAAAGAAATGCAGACTTTGGTTTTCCAGCAACTAAATGAGACATTACCTAAAGTTAATTCAGTATTAGATTCAATGGTAAAGAAACTTTTCTCTGAAGAAGAATAATGTTGTTTGAGGTTTAACTGTTGCTCGTTTTATATTTACCTTTTTGTGTATATTTTGGTTACATTTTTGTTTTTTTAAATGGTAGATTTTTATCAAATTCTTGCTGGAGTAAAATATTTTCTCAATATTTTTGGGACTAGCTTGCATACACAAATATTTAAATAACCTACATAATAATTAATTAATAGTATGTACCCATTTGAAACACATCAGAGAAACATTGCACATTTTCCTTAGATTTTTTGCTAATAAGGAGAAAATATAATAATTTGCATATTCATAATTTATTGAAAATATTCTTATACTTCTACATTTGTATTTGTTATTTGTTGACTATAGTTATGTTTTCATCTAAAATTGTTAGTCAACATGTTAATGAAGAGATTAAATATGAAATGAAATGTTTATAGTTAGTTATAATATAGTCCTGAATTTCAACCATTATTTTAACGGAAATATTGCATAATTAGTTTCCTGTATCAATATACATGTATAACGAACCTAAAAAAAGAGTCATGTTAAGCAACATTACAAAATCCATTTTTTTTCTATATAACTGGTGTGTACCTATTACACATTCAATTTTGAACTTTATATGAATTGGTCAGAAATATTATACAAACAAACTGCTTCTGATAATACAAAAATGGTCATCTCTAATAATTTTCTTTTTTAAATGATGCCCATGTTTTATATATTGACCTAATTGCCACAGTGAGTAAATTAAAATAATCTTGATAAAGGTCCACCAGAGAATGTTTCATGTCAAATATCTAAGTTCTAGCTTTCCCTTTTTCAAAAAACATTTGTTTTAGTTTCTGTTCTTATTATATGTACATAATGAAAATCAGTGACCCAAGGACGGGGCCACTTTTGATACCAGGTCAATCATTTAAGCAATCTTGGTAGAGGACTCTCTCTCTCCCCCCCCCCTTGGCGGGGGCTAATTTTGGCACTAGAAGCAAAATTTGAAAATCTTTGGTAGGGGACCTATAGATGATACAATAACACACAGGTGAATCGCTTTATGCCACAGCATCGCATGCTGTGGTGGCATAAAAAGGCATGAATATTGCTTGCAATTACTACAAACTGGGTGGTATATGTACAATGTACTCCTTTTATATTTTATATGTACTATGTTTGCAGTAAAAAATATACAACAAGTTTTTTCCAGTATATATTCAATTGTTAATCACACTGTAGTGGTGAAATCATTACAAATTATATTCAACAAGTCACATTACTGCATCAATTCACACAAATTCCATCACACTATTGTATATTTTTTTTGTCAAAAGAATTGCTGTGTGACATAGGCCCTGATATTCCTTTCATCCTAAATTGCCCTGGTATGAATCTACATTTGGCTGTTCCTCCTAATCAAGTTCTTCAGGCATGTCTGGCTCATCCCAAAGCACAGATAAATATAATTTCTTTATAGAATTGACCGTAGTCAAGTTATGTGTCAGTTCAGCTTTGGGTTACTGACCATTCTACACGTCGATTACTTTTGTATGATGGAAAATGACAATGCGTCAAACGATGGCATAAATGGTGGCTTGTCTTCACCGGGCGAAACTTCACGGGTTGAAAACCAGCTTCTACGTGTTCTTGGCGAATTACAAACTCAGCGGGAAGAAGTTCAATCATGGAAACAAGAACTTCAGGGCAACATCTTCAACATGGCTTCAGAAGTCAAGAAGTTGAGATCAGAACAAGAACTCGTCTGGAAATTTCAGGGTAACAAGATTCAATTTATTTTCAATTCAGAGCTCGAAGAATTAGCCAAACAGACTGCTTGGGCTATTGAACATTGTAAATTCGATTATTTGAAGGAGTTGTTATCAGAACTCACTGAGAAACTGAGAAAGTGCAACAAGTTGATTAGAATCGCCGACGGAAGTCCCGGGGACTGGGACACGGTCAGATAATACGAGGCAAATCCAATCGCAAGCGACTCAGAAGATAATGCCAATATCAACAAGGCAGAAAATCGTGCGCTTAAACGAAAAAGGTCTAGTTCCAGGGGCGACAAGTCTTAAGATAATCATCCTGTTATATCTGGCTACTATCACGGCAAACCATGGGGAGCACATGCACCTTCATTTCAATCAGGGTTGCAGCAACATACGTTTCCGAGAATGCAGTCCTTTCGTGGAGTCGCGGGGCTGGAAAAGGCGGCGTTTCAGGCGCGACCTACGGTACAGCATCAGGGCCATGCTACGCATGTGGAAACCTCGGCCACTTCCGGCGGGACTGTCTAAATACAGGCGGTAGAACTCAGTGGAAACAGCAAACGACAAGCAAATAAGCTAAAGAACATTGACTCTTTGAAAGATGAGTATAGTTTTTATTATCAAAGATTTACCGGTGACTATTTTGAGTATGAACAAGGCCAAAAGAATATAATTGTTAGGGGCCGTTTAATTCAGCATATTGATTTTTGGCGTTCAATTGGTACTAATCAGTATAATACTTGATGTGATAGAAAACGGTTATAAGATTCCTTTTTATTATTTGCCACCTGAGACATTTTTGAAAAAAAACCAGGTCTGCTGCAAACGAAATTCAGTTCGTTTCCGAGGCAATTCAAGATTTATTAGACCGTGCTCTTATAGAAAAATGTTCAGCTCCACCATTTATTGTCAACCTATTAACAGTGTCTGAAAATTCTAGTAAGAAACGATTGATTTAAGAGCAGTCAACAAGCATATTTTGAAACAGTCGGTCAAATTTGAGGATTTAAGAATAGCATTATCTTTTTTAAAGAGAGATTGTCACATGATAAAATTCGAAATCACTAGTGTGTACCATTTCATTGAGATATATCCGCCACATACCGAATTTTTGGGATTTTCATGGGTTGATAAAGATAAAAAGATTTCTTATTACAAGTTTCTTGTACTCCCATTTGGTTTGAGCGGCGCTTGATATATTTTTACTAAGGTTGCTAGTCTCCTAGTCAAAAAATGGAGAGGAGAAGGAAAATCATTATTGATGTTTCTTGATGATGGTTTTGGGTGTGGCCAAGATTTCAGTAAAACTGAGCAATTAGGTGTTCAAATAAAAGGTGAATTACTTTTTTCTGGGTTCATTCAAAACGTGGACAAATCTGTCTGGGTTCCAGTTCAGATCATACAATTTTTAGGTGTTCTGTTAAATTCCACAGAAGGCGTTCTGTTTATTCCTGAACAGAAAATACAAAAGGCGTTTTTCACAATACACTGAATTCTGAAAAGTGGCAAGTTTGATAGGGCAGCTAATTTTCATGTCTATCGTCATAGGTCAAATAGGTCAAATCATGACCCGTTCGCTTAGCATAGATATCTTGAATGCTAGGTCATGGGATTGTTTTATCCATCTTTCAGACGACAGCTTAGATCAGTTACATTTCTGGAAAGAAAATATAGAACATTAAAATCGCAAGCATTTATTTGATACTGTCAGATGCTCAAAAGTTATTTACTTAGATGCAAGTAATTCTGGGTTTGCAGGTTACGAGGTTAGTACGGTTAACGGAGTTGCCCAATTGATGAGAGTAGCAAATCCTCCACGTGGAAAAAACTGACCGCGGTTTATAGGGTTATTTGTTCATTAACTCATATTATTTCTAATCAAGGCATCAAGTGGTTCAGTGAAAATCAAGGGATTACATCAATAGTCAAGAAAGGGTCCATGAATAAGGAGTTACAAAGCATATCAATACAAATTTTCAAGATTTGTATGTCAAAGTCCATACAATTATTCATGGAATGGATTCCCAGATCGTTTAATGAAGCCGATTATTTATCAAAAGTTGTCGACTACGACGACTGGGGTATTTCAAATGAACTTCTTTCTATGATTGAAAAACGTTTTGGCCATTTGTCAGAAGACTGGTTTGCCTCATAACACAAATTGGTCAGGTTCTTTTCAAGGTTTTGGAGTCCTTCATCCTCGTGGGGCGTAGATGCTTTTACCGAAAACTGGGGAATTGAATTTGGATTGTTTGTACCCCCGATCTCGCTTATAAGAAAAGTTATTAGAAAAATGAGCGCTGATCAAGCAGTAGGTGTACTTGTAGTTCCATGTTGGCCATCGGCGATTTTCTGGCCCGATTTGTGTCCAAATGGAAATTTTATTTCAAATGTATCAGACTGGTTTGATTTGGCAACTAATTTACAGATAAATTATGTACATTGCTTGGTACCTTTGAATAATAATAATATATATTTCTTTCAGTTTACATGAAATTCTAGAGTATTACAAAAAGTTGGAACACAATCATTAATCCTTCATAAGTACATGTATATATAATTGTTAAACATTGATTCTGGTGTTCCATAAAGCACTGTTCAAACTACTCACAGGCAACTGAACAATAAGTAGGCCTTTTACAACAAAATTCTAATCTATTTAATTATTAAAGTTTTGACTAAAACTTCCTTATATGAAATATTTGCATGGGTTTATGATTTAGTTTAAAAGTTACCTCTGAATGTAAGACATAAAACTTCCTCTTCCATACACCAAACAATCTTTCATTTGCATGTCTTGTGCCTCTATGAGATCTGTTATATCTAAAATAAAATGTATGTATGTAACCTACTTTATTTTAAATGATAATTTTCATTTTATAATGTTATTCTATGAGACATTGAAAAATATCACTGAGGTCTTTTATAAGTCATAAAATTATAACTGTGTTAAATTGAGTAAGACATAGAATATTGGTTTATGTTTTTGGAATTATCATATCAATAAAAAAAACATCACAAGCACAACTTTCATAATGATGTATATAAATTTCACTGTAAAAAATTAAGAATGTCCTCTAATTGATTATTCAATGTGTTGATATTTATATCTATAAAAACATTTAATTACATTTTGTATATTAAGATTACTTTCTTTTGTTTATGTTATAAAAGATTGTGACATACTGCAATAATTATGTTTATCACAAAAATCTAAATTA